CCATTACCAAAGGTATGTGCGTTTGGATGGAACATAGGTCGGAATTAGGACCCCTCCCGTTACCTATTTAAGTTAATTAAACACTCACTCATTAATTAATTAATTTCCTAAAATACAAAAGACATGTTGGTGAAAGTTAGGCACCCAGGTAATATAAATAGTTCCACGGACAGCTATGTAGGCCGGAGCTTCTATTGCGTGCGATCTACGTTTGGTCAGAAAATACCCCCCCCCCCCCAACACACACACACACAAAAACACCGATACGGGAACGCCTGAAAAGGAGGCTTTTAATAAGCTTTGCCTGCAGCGCCTTGATTGGTCGGACGTGTGACCCTCTGGACTGCCGGCTAATGGAAATCTGAACATCTAGACTAATCCACACTGCTAATGCTCATTGACATAATTTATGCAGTTTATTAAAATCCTTGATTACTGTGAATCCTTGATTATAGACATGTCTTTATCAACATTTTGGCAAATAATAAAATCAAGTTATTGTTCAAGACAAATTAAGTTTGTTTTGTCAGCAGGCAAAGCTTATTGTGGGGTCGTGTGGCGCAGTCGGTAGCGCGTTCGGCTCACACCCCAGAGGTTGTGGGTTCGAACCCTGCCCATGTCACCGATCTTGTGCCCTTGGGAAAGGCACTTTACACGACTTTCCTCACTTCACTCAGGTGAAAATGAGTACCTAGCTTCGGTTAGGGACGTCCCTCGGATAGGACGTTAAATGGAGGTCCCGTGTTTGGGAGATCCACACCCCATGCACGTTAAAGAACCCACCGCACTTATCGAAAAGAGTAGGGGATCTTCCCGGTGTGAGTGGTTCAAAACCTTACAGTCCGGTCTAACGCAGCTTGTACATGTGCGCACATGTACAAAACTGGTGTGTTACGCCTGAAGGCGGTTTACCGGTTATGCGAAACAAACAAAAACAAAGCCTTACAGGTGTGTTACGCCTGAAGGCGGTTTACCGGTTATGCGAAACAAACAAAAACAAAGCTTTGTTATGCAACATTAATAGAACTATGATTTTGAAATTAGCAACCATAATGGAAAGTATACAAACGTCCAAGGCATAAATGGTAAAAAGTGCACTCGCAACAACGACATCTAGCGACATGCGGCAACTCAGCATGTCTGCATGGCCGTCGCAACAACGACATCTAGCGACATGCGGTGACTTAGCATGTCTGCATGGCCGTTGAAGGGTGGAACCGTTGATCCATCCATCCGTTGATCCAATCTCAATCTCGTCTGAGTTACCATTTTCGCGCATGCGAAAATGGTAAAAAAAACAAAAAAACAGTACGATGGATAGAACAGTCAAAATGTTTTCAACTAAATCACACATTTTTTAACACGTCAAGTACTTCATCAATTTCTGAACAAAGCAATTCTAAAAACACATGGAGAAAAACATCTGTCATGTCAAATATGAATTTAAGTATCATATCAAATAAACCATCATCATATATACATTTGTACACAATGCAAGTATGTGCCAATGAAACCATCATGGTGAGTGCCACGTGGTCTGCGTCAACTACAGTAGTACCTAATATTAATATAGCCAATATAGGCAATTCAGATCAGAACCTGGAACAACATGTATGGGATTCAGCAGTATAGTAATAACTTCGTTAAGTAGTAAACCATAAATTTCATATTACATGTACTCGATATTTAAGTCATACCATGGGTATTGTTGGCTCTGTCGTCAGTTTGACTAAGCTTTACACAGCAAATATTAAATTTCCAATCTCAGATTTTACCTGTCAAGTTCAAGAGTCTGTTTGAAATTCAAACATCACCGCTCAACAACTGCATGCAGCAGTCTTTTTAACCTCCTTGCATGCAGTAAGGCAATTATGTGTGTGATACTAAAGAAGTCCTGATGGTGACCTCCCTTATCACCAAAACACCGCCTCTTTTACCTATGAGGATTTTTGGTGCCTTTTCTACTGCCCAATTTACCTCCCTGGGCACTATGTCACGTAAATCATTGCCCTGGGTGTGGTCTTTTGATGCACACATAGTGTAATACCAAGAACGCTGTTACCGCCCCCCTCCCATTCATGGAACTTCTCCCCTCCTTCCAAGAATCAAACGCCCCTTGGAAAACCACGCTAACACTATTAACACTATCCAGTCCCTCTTGCCCGCTCTTGGCCTCGGAACACGTTTGTTTTCCATTGAAACGGATAGTATTTGATCAAAACACACAGGACAACAACAAACCTCGTTTCAAATCAAGCAACTCCGGTCAGAGGCCACGTGTGCGCACGGTCTGAAAGCGCCCCATAGCGGTTTATTTACAAAGTACACCTCTCAAGACTGATGTGTTGTTATGGCCTCGCGTCTCTCTGTGTATACCTCATTATAAATATAATTAAGATTACAGCAATTGATACCAAACAAGTCATCAGACTTTAAAAGAAATAAGAGTTCGGCATAGACTAGCATTTGACCACACAGTAGCGCTCCTAACGGCGGCTCGACTTACTGCAGCGTTGAAATCTGGAAGCAGTTGCCGACACTTTCCTTCGAAATTCTATGCTTTTGCTTCATTTTACTTCAAGGAGGTACATCTACAATAGTCCCTAGGGTATCTAAGACAATTTAAAGTACAGCTTACCAACAAAAAGGACGTGGCTCGTCTTCCTGGGCGGAATTTTTACCCGTTCTTCTTCCCTTCCATGCGTGCACACTCGCCATGTTGGAACGGCGTGTTTCACGCACAGGTGCCAGCTGCCACCTGTTCATCACGAGTAAAATTTGAATTCGGTAATCAAGTCAACATTAGATCAACAACAGGCCAATAGACAATCACCACACATGAAGGCCTGAAAGTTGTGATAATTATGTCGTTTTTCCTCAGGCAGAAGATGTTAATATTGGGGGCCAAATTACTTGAAATTCGTTGGTCCAAGCAGATATTATGGCGTGGATAGGTAATCTTAAAAGATCCCGGGTGGCTTGGATATGCCATCTTCAAGCAGATACGGGGTGGCACGGACAGGTATTAAATCTTCAAGCAGATACAGGATGGTGTGGGTAGGCAATGTTCAAGCAGATACAGGGTGGCAACAGGGTGTTGTTTACTAATAGGCGATGGCCTCGTGTCTCTGTGTGTATGTTATTTACGATGCAAATTACAGGAACGCCTCATTATAATTAAGATTACAGCAATTGATATCAAACAAGTATATAATCAAAGAAGAGCTCGGCAGAGACTATCATTGGACCACACAGAAGCGCTCCCAGCGGCTGCTCGACTCACTGCAGCGTTGAAATCTGGAAGCATTGCCGACACTTTCCTTCGAAATTCTATGCTTTTGCTTCATTTTATTTCAAAGGAGGTACATCTACAATAGTCCACAGGGTATCTGAGACAATGTAAAGTACAACTTACCAACAAAACGGGCGTGGCGCGTCTTCCTGGGCGGAATTTTTACCCGCTCGTTCTTCCCTTCCATGCACGCTCGCCATGTTGGAACGGCGTGTTTCACGCACTGGTGCCAGTGGCCACCTGTTCAGCACGAGTAAAATTTGAATTCGGTAATCTAGTATAATTAGATTGACAACAGGCCAATAGACAATCACCACACATGGAGGCCTGAAAGTTATGATAATTATATCGTTTTCCCTCAGGTTTCTTCTTCTCCTGCCATTTCGATTAAAAAAAACTTAAATGGTTTCAACATCTTAATTTTGGGGCCAAATTTAATGCTTGAAATTTGCTGGTCCAAGCAGATACAGAGTGGCGTGCGTAGGTAATCTTCAAGCAGATATCGGGTGGCTTCGATATGCTATATCTTCAAGCAGATATAGGGAGGCATGGACAGGTATTAAATCTTCAAGCAGATACAGAATGGTGTGGGTAGGCAATGTTCAAGCAGATACAAGGTGGCATGGATCCTATGAAAAGTAGGAGTGAAAATTTGTACATGTAACATGACGGGATGATCCTTGAAAGCATCTGAAATTAGACATCTGCCGTTTCCCTTTTTTTGGCAAAGATTTAACACAATTGGGGGTTAGCGCTGCACTGGAGCAGCCAGACCCTTGCGATTCAGCCCACCTCACAATTCAGCCCTTGACTGCAAGGAGAGAGTAGCCAGTCCACCCAATAACAGTATATAACGAAGAAAGGAAAAAACTAATCAGATATCATGTAAAAATAAAATAACACTACCTGGGACAAGTAGAGAAATTTTCAACATATTGTTATCATGCCCAGACTCTGTATCTGTTTATTTAGGCCAATATTTACATACTGCTATACAAAAGAGAAACCTTGTCACTGCAATGTGAAATGTAACATTCCATTATTAGAACATATATACATGCATTGAAATTAGATTAGTCCACTAGTAGAAATAGTTTATAGTTACTTGCCATACATTGTATCAAATGCAATTGTTGTGCAATAAACTTGACTTGACTTGTTAATCTTGAGAACAGATTCTTGAGTATTAAACCACAAGAGTTCTACGGCTTTCACCAAAAAAAGATGTTAACTGTTCTGACAAATGAAAAAAATGTATGTTTTCTCATTCTTTATGAAAATAACATCCTCATTCCAATTCAATCACAGATTATATTCAGATGATCACATTATTCAACCAATGCCAGTCTTAACTTAGAGTGTAACAAAGAGTGTACATATGTGCTGTACATGTTACATGACGTCTTAAATTGTCAGAAGTGGTTGTGAACATTATGTATAATCAAGGACATTATACACAATGTACAATGTCTCTGGTATAATAAATTTTCCAGAGGTTTGGAATTTTTCCTATGTTTCAAAAAGTCCTTCTTTTAAGGTAGTTCATTTATACAGTTTATATTTTCTACATATTCATCATGTTTATTCTAAATCTATGGTTTGCAACTTTACCTAGTTTTTTAATGTAGGGAAGTTAATTTTCTTAATAAGGGACAACTAGTCTACAGGAGACAACAAGGACACAATGATCAGTCTTTGATACAATTTTAATCTCCATCTAATCTGGTAAACTGGGACTTAATGATAATACATGTATTTTACATTATCAATGTACATGTACATGTACATGTATGAGACAAATGTACCGAAAGAGGCAGATAAAAGTAATTTGGTGATATCCTGAAGAATGAAGCTAATATGGAATGAAAAAAAGAGTACACAAATACAGCAAAGTTTTGTGCTTGTGCTTTGAATAAACGGACGCTATATAATATCTTTGTTTCTACTCATACCAGCAGTTAAAAGATACATTGTAATGCCTTTTAAATTTCTGAGTCAACTTGAAATTACATGTATAGCTTAGCTGTATCTTTCATGTAATCTTAAGCTGCCCCAAGCCTTGACAACAACAGAAATGCTGATTTGTCACAAATTGGACCATGTTCCTGCACAGCAGTGACAATATATAAAAGATCTGCCCCTGAGGCATCGCCAAAAAAAACGGTCACGTTGCTGCATGTGTTGTTGACTGGCTGGAACTTGTGTTCTCCGGTCTGTCCGAACCTTCCTTCACCTCGTTCCCATGTCCTTCCTCTTTCTCTCTCTCATTCTGTCCATCCTCACTAGTACTCTCCTCCTCCTCTACCTCCTCATTCTCTTCTTCCTTCTGTTCTCCGGATGTCCGTGTGACCCAGGGCGAGGCGGGAGTTCGGGTCAGGTTCAAGTTCTTGACCACGGACGACGCGGGCGCAACCAGGACCTTCCGCGACAGTCTCATCATCCCGGTGGCCGGGTCCCGCCCAAAGTACTTGACTGACATTTCTTGTCCGACGTCAAAACCGAGAGCAGACGGATGGCTTACCTGAGGACGTGGGAACAAAATGTTTTATCTTTATTTGCAAAATCATGCTCGAAGGCTAATTGCTTCATAGTCAAAGATTGTACAATACAATAACAGGAAACTGACAGTAAACTACTGTCTGGAAAAACTTTTAAGCTACATTAGAATATAAATACTTCTACTACTTCTACTAGACTTGCTATATTATGAGGTTTAACTTCTTCTTTGAAGGCAGTGGATAATAAATTTTCCCACGTTCTACATACTGAGTGGGTTTTGTGATCTTATTAGAAACATAGTCTTTTGGTGATCTTCTAAATGATGAAAGGATGGAGAAATTATGACAACTGTTTGTATCTCTGTGAATAATTTCATCAGGTTTGCAAGAGACTGTATGAGACAGTTCTTTACAGTCAGAAGGAATTGTTGCTCAAGCAATTAATTTATTCAGTTGGATAAATTTTGAACCACCAATATTGTCAAGACATGTTTAATGTTTGTGTCCACAGTGCAACATGCTACTCATGTGCAGTTGAAACAGTATGAACCAACTTCTATCAGGATACGCACCCTTCTGTGGTCCAGTTGTGAG